TGGCGGGGCAACCACGCTGGCCACTGGTGGTCAGGGAGCACTTCCTGTGCGGACGCTGCTCCGGGAGCAGGATGGTTGATTTCTCCCTCCATCCTCACCCAGGCCCCTCGGGGTTGCCCCTTCTGTGCACCGCACTTTACATGTAGGGGACAGACAAGGGGCAGTGATGGCAGGACATTGAGCAGACTGGCCTGCAGCCCCCGCCAGCACTTGGCCGGGATGACCGCTGCCCTGGGCAATCAGAGAAATGAGCTCCCGTCCTTCCCACCGCCCGGGGCCCAGGTCTTGGCCTGCCTGCTCTTCATCATTTTCACCTGGGAGCTTTCCCTCTGGAGGGGTTTGGTGTCAGCTGAGACCCGGGGTGTGGAGCCGAATGGCCTGCGGCCCGGTCCAGCCCTGAGCAGGCATCAGGGCTGGGGGTTAAGTGGCTGGATGTCCAGCCAGCCCCGTCCTCCTGCCTCTTGCAGAGAGAAAGAAGCGTCGTCAGCACCGTGCAGGGGCTTAGGACGCTGAAACGGACTAACGTTTCTTGCTCCTGTTTCTCTCTTGGGGGGCATGGATCAGCCTGGCCGTGGCTCCCGTGGGGAGGGGGCCCTGAGCTCTCAGAGGGCGGGGTCAGTGGTCCTGCCTCTGATGCTCTCCCTGTGGATGTGCCCGCAGAGCAGACCGCGCCCCCGCCCTGGAGCTCCGACACCCCCACCTCCGGGGAGGGCAGGAGGGGCCAAAGAATCTACTTTGTTAAGAAACGTAAATGAAAATGTATGATTTCCAGGGTGAACAGCCTTACCAGCAAATAAGGTTTCCGCAGCCCTGCAAGGGTGGAGGTGGGTGAACAGTAAAGGGAGGTTGTGTCTGACAGCCCCTGGCACGGAAGAGGCTGCACCAGGGGCAGACACCACCCTTCCTGGCGGCCCTGCCGTCACCCTCTGAGCCATCCCCAGGCTCCACCCCCTGCCCATTGTCCAGGAAAGACTCAGGAGGGAGCACACAGGTTTACTCCTTTATTACTGAAGGAGGAGCGGCCCCAAGCAGGAGGCCCCGGGAGGGGCCTGGAGGGGCCTGGGTCCTGGGAGGGGTGACCGTGGTCCCGGTCCCTCCTCGTCCCCTGGATAGAGGAGGCAGGGGTGATGTCGTCTGTCCCCAGAGGGGCCAAGACTCCCGGGCCCTGAAATGGACATGAGGTTCCCCTGTGATTCCTGGGGCACCTGCCAGACCCTTGCCAGCCTCTCCATGGCTGGGGGTGCAGGACGGCCCCTCCTCGGGAAAAGGACCCCCCTAGCCTCCCCCTGAGGTGCCCACTTCCTGGGCCCCCACCTTGGCCCTTAGCCCTGCCCAGAAGGAGCTGGAGGAGGTCAGTGTGTGAGTGAGGTCAGGACACAGGTCACCCCACAAGAGTGGGCACGTGGCCAGCCAGCTCTGCAGTCGCCAGGAGGGACCCCAGCTTCCAGCCATTCCCATGGGGGGACCCCAGGGCCTAATGGGGGATCCCAGGACCCACCAAGGCCCCCTACCCCATGTGTGTGCCCAGGATGTGGGGCAGGGCGGGCAGCTTACCCCAGAGGCGCCGGCAGGGGCTCACCTAGACGTGCATTGCCCTGTGGGGGAGGGAGAGTCGTGGGGGGGTCAGGAAGGGACTGGACACCCCGGGACAGAGGGAGCTGGGGAGCGGGTGGAGAGGGGACCCCCCACAGGGTGCTGCATCCCATCCCCTCCTCCCAGGAGGCCTGGGGAGGGAAGATGGGCGGCCAAGCTCACCCGCCCCCTGGCGCAGGTCCAGGACCGTCTGCATATGCTCCGGCAGCGAGGCCAGGGCCCCGTCGAATTTCTCCATGACCTCGTCGTCCACCTCCGGGGTCCTGGCTGTGGGGGCAGGGCGTCAGGCCCCGAGGCAGCCCCGGCCCTGAGAGCCCAGAGACCCGAGGGCTCCAACCGAGCGTGAGCCCAGGAAGGAGGCACCACAAGCTCGAGGAGCTTGGTCCTGTCCTGCCTCCCAGGATGGTCTGCAAGCCTTGGACCCCTGCCCGGCCCCCTCAGCCCCGTTCCTCTCCGCTTCCTCCCCGGGGCGGTGCAGCGGTGTCTGTACCGTCACGGGAGGAAAGGCTCCCTCCTGCCCCACTAGCCTGGTCTCCCCCCCGACCCCTAGTGGGCTGACTTAGGACCAGGAGCCTCGACTGCCCGGTGACCACGGCCCCCTCGGGAGTAAGGGCAGCCTCGCCACTGTATTTACTTTGGTCAGAAGGTTGCCCTTTAAAGTTGCTTTCGTACCTGAAAGTGTTCTGAAGTTGTTAAAAATCTCCTCTTAGAAGACTGCTGGATTAATATTAGCTAGTTCTGCCCACTGGGAGGTGAAGCCCGTCCTCCTGGGGAGAGACCACTGAGCCTTCTGCCTTAGCCCGCTTACCCGTCCCAGACCTTGTTGCAAGCACTCTGCCCCCTGCGTGTCAGCTACATCTGACCACCAGGGTCTGGGGCCGAGGCTGGGACCTTGGCTCCGTTTTCCGGGGGGGGCCAGCAAGGAAGACCCCTCCCCTTCCTGCCACCAGGGGCCGTGAAGGTCGGGGATCTTGAGTGCTCCTTATTCACAGCTCCACCAAGGGTCATGTCTCGGTGAGGCGCAGCCCTTCTGGATACGCTCTGCTAGGTCCCCACATACCCAGACACTGGCACATCACGCTGCCCTCATCGGTGGGTGTGGGGCCCTCCATGCAGAGGATCATGTAGCTGCTGTAGTCTGTGTCCAGCACGGAAATCTTCCTTTCCCTGTGACCTAGAAAAGGGGCCGGAACGGAGCCTGAAATCTCTCCATCACAACCATCAGGGGGCCTGGGAGCGCTGTTTCCCATGGTGGCCACTGGGCAGGCAGTACCCTCTCCGGACACCCAGTGGGTGCCCTCTCTATCGGATGCAGAAAGCCCACTGCTGGCAGCCCTAGTCTGATGGGCCCCCAGCTGGGACACTTCCGACAGCACCACCCAGCTGAGACTGGCCCCTCCCGCACTCGGGCCAAGACTGGAGACAGCTGTGACATGCTGATGCTATGGCAAAGCTGCTGTGTGCCTACCGCCTGCTTGGGCAGACTCTGCTTCCCATGTCCTGCACGTGGCGTCCATTCAGTCAGTTATTCGTTCACACCCGCAGGCACTAAATCCCAGCGGGCCCCCTCCCTGGGGATAGGTGCCCAGGTCCGTGAGCAATCAACAAATAATTCAGGATGGAACTTGAGTCTGGGGTGATACATGGACTGCAAAGAGTGGAAGACAGAAGGGAGAGTATTTCCAGAGGAAGGGTGGGGATGGCTCTGTCTTTCAGAGGTGGGGGGGGGACCTGGGGGAGCGTGGGGAGACCCTACATCCTTGGAGTCCTCATCCCGGCTTGACTGGGAGCAGAACGATGGTGAGTCCAGCCACCTTCCCAGGCAGACCCGAGGTCCTGCAGGTGAGGAGCAGGGGGTCTCCACCACACCCACTGCTTTTCAGAAAGAGGATGGGGGGGGTCTTCCCTGGTGGCTCAGTGGCAAAGAATCCACCTGCCAACGCAGGAGACATGGGTTCGATCCCTGGTCCATGAAGATCCCACAGGCTGCGGAGCAACTAAGCCGGCACTACAACTATTAAGCTGCGCTCTAGAGCCCGAGAGCCACGACTACCAGCCCACGCGCTGCAATGACCGAGGCCGTGTGCCCGAGAGCCCGCGCTCTGCAACGAGAGAAGCCTCTGCACCGCAACTAGAGAAAAGCCCGTGCAACAGGAAGGCCCGGCGCATCCAAAAATAGACAAATAAATGAAGTTAAATATATACGGAAAAGAGACTGTGGCAAATAGCAGAGGCGAGAGGCCCTGTGGATTGGAGAGAGGGTAGCTGGGCCCTGGCCACGGTGGGGGGGTGTGGGCTGGATCTGGGGGCCCAGGGGTGTGTCCCAGGGAGGCTGCCAGGGCTGGGGTCAGAGGGTGAGGCCTGGAATGTTCCAGAAGTAGGTTCCAGATCGGAGAAGCAAATGCACAGTGCCCCCTGCCCACAGATCTGGTTTGTTTTGGAGACTTTTAAGGAGCCACAGGCTAGTCAGTGAACAGGGAGGTGGCCATGTGTCTGTCCACCTAACCCACCCCCACGGTGCACAGGACGCCTGCCCCCCACCCTCCACCTTCGCCAAGCAAGAGGTGCCGCAGGGCAGGAGGGCGTGGGGGTCTCAGGCCTCGTCACCCCAAGAATGACCTCCGAGGGGGGCAGGAGGCAGGGCCGGTGTGCAGCTCGAGGCCAGAGACTCGAGCCGACTCCTGCTGCCAGGACGGTGAGCATCTCAGGGCATCAGGCGGGGCCCTGTGTGGGTTGGGGCTGCCCCGAGGGCACACAGGGCCCCGGGCTGGGGGCACTCACAGTCGACCGTGAAGACAGCAGGGTCCTCCGTCTTCAGGGCCATGAGGGTCTTCTTCACATACTCGTGGTTTTCCCTGAAAAGCCAGGTGGTTGCGGGGGAAGGGGTCATTCGTGAGCCCTGCAGTGGGACAGGGCTGGGCTCCGGGAAGTGTCCAGAGGGCAGATGGGCGCCTCGGCTGGCCCTCCATGGACCCCAGCAGGCGACCCAGGGGAGGGACAGTGTGGGGCAGGCCAAGCTGGCTGGCACCCAGCAGACCAGTGGCCAGAGGCCAGGGTCACAGGGCATCACTAACCCCGTCCACGTGGGGCTTGGACACAGTGCTTCCGAGGATGCGGGGCTCACGATGGCTCAGAATTCCTCAAGTCTCTGGTTCCCCCTCTCTGGGGCGGATGGGACTCCTGGCAGCAACCCCCAGGCCCTGATGCCCAGCATCCTGCACACAGGCCTCTTCCCACAGTGACCCCAGGGCCACTCTGTGTGATGGCCTTTTTGCCCCATGGCTCTGGGCCGGGCTCCGAGGGGACAGGGACCTCTGAGCCCCATTCCCCATCCCTGGGGCCCTGGTCCCCCATACACCCCAGCCCTGGGGACGAGCAGTTACATGTTGGTGGTAGGGGACACCCACCGTTTCTGCAGCAGGACCTCCAGGTCACCCTGGGGGGTGGGTTTCAGCTCCTCCACGTACACTCTCAGTGGGCCACTCTCGGCGTCCAGAAGGGACATGTCGCTGGCCGCCATGGCCACCACGTGCCACGTCCCCACCACCTGGGGAGGGACCTTGCGCTGTACCCCAGGAGCGGAAAGGGGGCCCAGCCCCACAGTGGGCCCTTTGTCCCGCCCTGGCCGGGCCAGGCTGTCTCCTACACAGCCAGGGCTCTCAGGAAGTGTGAGGCACGTGGGTTCCAGGTGCACTTGGGGACCACCTGCTGTGCGCGGACACGTGGGTGGGAGGGGGGAGGTCCTTGAATATTTGCAACAACCCGTGTCTCTGCCTGCCCCCCGGCCCCTCGCTGTCCTAAGTCAGCCCCTATTCGGGGTGTGGACCCTCTGAGGATGAGTCTGCCCTGGATGGAGGGGGAAACGGGAGACTCTGGGGACCAGGTGTCTGGAGACAAGTCCCTCCAAAGTCTGCGGGACCAGGTGGTGCCCCCAGGGGGTCGCCTGCTCTCGTCCCGTGTTAGACTCCCGCGGTCCAGGCTTTCCTGCCCCCTCTCAGCCCCGGACCCCAGCCCCCGGCGCCCACCCTCCACCCCAGACCCCATACCTTTCTAACGTCCAGGTCCTCTGCCGTCTGGGGGATGTGGGCAGCCTGGACGCCACAGGCGAGGGCCAGGCCCAGGGCGAGCAGGAGGCACTTCATGGATGCAGCCGGGGTCGCACTTCTGAGCTCCGGGGAGACGGGAAGTCTGAAGAAGTGGGCTTTGGGGCTTACATAGGAGGAGGGCCGGCCGGCCATCTCGGGCCTGGCCCCCCCAGCCCCCACCTCGCGGTTCCCCGAATCACCCATGACTCATCCTTAGGGCCACAAGGGCGCTATCTTCTAGAACAGCACAAGGCCCTCCCTCTGGACTGATGTCACTGCCTTCCGTCCGAGGCCAGGCGGCAAGGCCCCCCGTGTCCTGGGTCCCGACGGTTCCTGATGGGCCCTAATTGGGGAGGGTCTGGGCTCCGGGTCCAGGCTGGCTGCCAGCATCAGAAACACTTCCTGGGTCAGGTTCTTGGACCGTGACGGGCAGGTGAGAGCGAGCGCTAAGGACTGGGCGTCAAGGAGGGCGGGTCCGTGGGTCAGCTGGCGACCAGAGAGCCCCATGCCTGCCAGGACCCAGGGACATGGCCAGGGGTGGCCGTCTGCCCACACAAAGGGCTTGCATCACCGTGCTCCTGACCGGTCCCCTGCGTGAGCATCCCCGTGGGTGTGTACGTGGTTTGCACAACTATCTTTGTGTGCACGACTGGGCCACATACGCACTCCTGGGCTGCGTGTGCTCCGTGACTGGGTGACCCAAGGGACCCCCCACACACACCGTCTTGCTCCCATTGTCACCATCCGTGGGAAAGGCCAGCATCTCAGTCGGGGTTTGAGTGGTCCAGAGGCACATTCCAGGGGCAGCGCCAGCTCCCACGGTCAGAACACACGGGGTGCCCAGATGGCTCTGGCCAAACCCCTGCACTGGAAGCTTGCCCCCTTCCGGTGCCACCCTCTCAGGCCGGCTCTAAGTGACCCCAGCGTGGGCAGCCGCCTCCTGCACCCCCACGCCCAGCCCATCCGGGACCTAGGCCTGCTTCCATCTCTTCCACAATAGTGGCACCTTGCAGAGTCTCGAGCCCTCTCTTTGAGCAGGGCCTGCCTTGGGAAGCACTGGAGCAGGAGGCCCACCACCCCTAAAATGAGAGCATGTCCCAGAGACGAGAAGTGGAGACTGAGGCAGGCGAGGCTGCCAGATTTATGCAGGGGAGCAGCCCTGGGGGACGTGTGGGGCCAGGAGAAGTGACTGGAGGGGGCTGGCACCCCAGGGGATGCAGGCAGGCTGGGCTCCGAGGACACAGAGGGGGGCATGGGGCAGGCCTGCAGAAGTGCAGGGGGAGGGGTTGAGGACCCAGGAGCCCAAGTCCCCAGGTGGAGCTCCCTCCAGGCCCTGGGAGCCTGGCGGGCAGCGAGCAGCTTGCTGAGGCTGAAAGCTGCCCCCCTGAACCCCCACACCTGGGCTCCTGGAGTCACGCGGGGAAGGGCCTTTGGGACCACAGTCCAAACGCAAGAGACGGGGGCGTGAGGGTGGAAGCAGACCGGGGCCTCCGCCCTGCAGGTGCCTCCAGGACCCGAGAGGGGCCGGGCACAGATTCTCCACCAGAGCCTCCGAGGGTCCCGCAGAGCCCACATGTGGTCATCAGACTCCCAGCTCCCGGACCAAGAGGCAGAGTGTGCTGTCTGAGGCACTGGTCTAAGGCAGTCTGCTCCTGCAGCCCTGGGAGCTTCCTGGGGGTGGGTTAAAGCAACACACACGTTCTTACAGTCTGGATGGATGAATAGATGAGTGGAGGGATGGGTGAATGGATAGAGGGACAGATGGATGGATGGGTGGGTGGATGGATGAGTGAATGGAGGATGAGTGGATGCGTGGATGGATGGGTGGATGGATAGAGGGACTGATGGAGGGAGAGATGGATAGACAGATGGATAGATGGAGAGATGAGTGATTGGAGGATGTGTGGTTGGATGGGTGTGTAGATGGATGGATGGATGGATGGATTAGTGGATGGATGAGTTTGTAGATGGACGGATGGAGGGAGGGAGGGATAGTGTGAGTGGATGATTGGATAGGGGGTAGGGGGATGGATAGGTGTATGGGTGTGTGGATGGCTTGCTTAACTCAAATCGGATGGGCCATTTGGCTTCTCTTTCTCACGATCCCTCTGACTTTCAAGGTGCTTTCATGTCCATTGTCACTCTTGCCTCCCACACTGGTGGCGAGAATGAGACGCACAGTGCCAAGGACCTGACCTGGATACACCGTCGTTAGTGGCAAGATTGGCCTTGCCAGCTCAGCCAGAAGCTGGCTCTGGGACACGGCATCGCTTCCTCCTTCAGGGCCCCCCAAGGCCTGGCGCGGGGCCATCCTCCTGAGCCCAGGGTGGGCCCCAGGCCTGCCAGATTCTGCAGATCCCCAGGCCATTCCTCACAATAGGGCCTTGTGTCTCTCTGGCTCAATTTTTGGCTCCATCAGGAACTTGCCAAAAGCCCCAAATGAAGGCAGAGTGGCAGCTGAGTCTCCTAGTCAGTGGAGGGAGGCAGGAAAGAGAGAGCCCCAGCTCCCCGGGCTGCGGGCGGTGGTTACGGCTTTGAGGTGGTGCCAGTGTATATTCACACACAGAGTTGAAAAGTGGGACTTGGAGTCCTGAACACGCGCCCTGTCATCCCCCAGCCTCCCTACCCCACCAGATGGACTCGATACACACGATGAGCCCGGCAAAGGGACACTTTCTGCCCCTGCAACTCATGTTTTAGGGTGAACAAAATCGGAGCCTCCTCCTTCCTGAGTCAGACTATTCCTTTTACTACAAGAAGATGAAAATTGCAGTGCAACTCTTAAGTTAAAGAGAAAATGGAAGAATATGAGAAAATCAAAAGGAGAGCCCAGCCCATCAGAACCTGAGGGACCCCTTTAAAGCAGTGCTCCCAGGAGAACCTGTTGTCCTAAAAATAATCTTAATAGACAAGAAGAATGAAAAGGAATTAATTAGCCATACCACTGAAAAATTAGGGGGTAAACACAACAGACAGTAAGGAAGGAGAGACGCATATAAAAGCAGGAACTACGGAATTAGAAAATCAAAGGATGAGGACTTCCCTGGTGGTCCAGTGGTTAAGATTCCGCCTGCCGGGGCAGGGGACACGGGCTCCATCCCTGGTCTGGGAAGATTCCACGGTCAAGGGGTAGCTAAGCCCGTGGGCCACAAGTACCGAACCCCACGAGCCAAGAGCCCACACACCGCAACCAAGAGTAGCCCCCACACCCCACTGCTAGAGAAAGCCAGCTTGCGGCAACGGAGACCCAGCACAGCCGGAAATAAGCAGGTAAACTGGACGGAAGTGTGCGGTATCTGACCAATTCTTCAGAACTACCCATGAAACAGATGTACCTTTAGGTAGCAATCTTAAAAGAGGAGAAAAACACGTAAAAGAATACACGCTATTGTGAAAGTAACCGCCAAAGGGGAAGAAACTGAAAAACCATTAGAAAGAAAAGGTTTGCTTAAGTCCATGGGGAAATAATGAAAACATCCATGAAGCAGGTAATTTTCTAGAAAAATGCAAATTACTCTACCTGACAGTGAAAAGGCTATGTTAATGGAAGAATATTCTAGATAATCTAGAAAACAAGTTATTAAAGAGTTATTCCCCCCCTAAAAAAAAAAAACCACCAGTTCTGGACAGTTTTACAGGGAAAACTTAGCACAACTTTAAGGAGCAATTAGTTAGAATGCTAGAAAATTAGGGGAAGTTTTCATCATTTTTATGAAGGTAAGACTTTCAAAACCTAACTAGAAACTTACAGATGTCTCTATTTTAGTATCTAAAAATACTAACTAAAATATTATCAAACAGAACAAAGCAACACTTTTAAAGGGTGATACACAGAGATTCATTTTAGGATGGTGAGAAGTTTTCATATTTGTAAATCTACTGATAAAAATCATCATAGCAATATGAATAGATTATGAGAAAAATCGTAAAATCATATTGATACTACCAAGATTGATTACTTCAAAATTATTTTTAATAATAAATTTATTATTTATTTATTATGTATTATATTTGTTTTAATTAGAGGATAATTGCTTTACAATATTGTGATGGTTTTTGCCATATATCAACAGGAATTAGCCACAGGTATACATGTGTCCCCTCAAAATCTGATGTGTATGTGTTCATTTGCTCAGTCACGTCCACCTCTTTGTGGCCCCGTGGACTGCAGCCCACCAGGCTCCTCTGTCCATGGGATTCTCCAGGCCAGAATACTGGAATGGGTTGTCATTTCCTCCTTCAGGGGATCTTTCCGACCCAGGGATTGAACCTGCGTCTCCTGCATTGCAGGCGGATTCTTTACCATCTGAACCACCAGGGAAGCCCAGGGAAGCCCAGGGAAGCCCCTGGTCTTAAGCCATTAACTGATTCAAAAGTTGAGTCACATGAAAAGTTCGCTCACAAAAGGCTGAATTCTCTCCCTACCTCTCCGCCCACTTCTGCCCCGCCAGGACCCAGGTTCGGTAGTGTCCAGCATTCCTGGAGAACTTCTCTCTCCAAACACACCTGTGTGTTCTTCTGTTCTCTCTCCCAAGAAAGTTAGCACGCAGGGCACTTGAGCTTCTGCTTTCCCTTTTCTTCATGAACAGTGATCCTGGAAATCGCTCCATATCCCTTTAGAGAACTGAAGGAAAGAGCTTTTAACAGGCCTCATCACGTACACAGAAATCGTTGTTGCTCTTGATCTTTATTATTGGAGACGTCTTCTGGGCCTGACATTAGCCCAGAGGCTCACTGGGCTGTTGGATTCTAGGGACAATTATGCAACGGAGCAGAACCTATGGTCCTCCCCGCCATCTCCTCCACCTGCCTTTTGTCTGTAGAAAGCTTCAGCCAAGAACGTTTCATCAGGACAAAATAATAATAGTTCAGTCATTAAGCAAAGTCAAGGACCTTTGGTTCCGCTTCAAGGGCTGTAGATGATATTCTGAGCCATATCCTGGGAGCTGTCTTGTAGATACCGAAAACTCCACCAGGTGGAAGCAGTTAACTACATGATAACCAGACTTGACATCAGTCAGTTCAGTTCAGTTCAGTCGCTCAGTCGTGTCCGACTC